GATGAACAGTACCGTATCATGTGGAACGAGCTGGAAACTTTAGTGAAAACTCACGCTGCCGCCACGGACCGACACCAGCGGGTCCTGGACTGCATCATCGCCTGCCGCAGTAAACCTCCAGAAGAGGAAGAACGAAAGAAGCGAGGGAGGAAGAGAGAGGAGAGGGAAGACAGGACGGAGAAAAATGGCAACAAGGAGGCAGAAGATAAAAGCTGGCAGGAATCAGAAAGGTGACGGAGAATATTTTAGTCCTGAAATTCTGTTGTTTCTTTTAATAGAATAGGCTGTAGCTTTCCAATCTTTTAGGTAACACTTTGCTGTTGCTTCTTTTGATTCAAGGCTAAAGAGTCTGTTGGATAAAGAAGATCAGGAGTCTGAGGTGATCAAGGACTCACCAGATTCTCCAGAGCCGCTCAACAAGAAACCACGCTTGATGGCAGAAGAGACTCAGCCTCAGGAGAGAGCAAAAGGTACGACATGATGATCAGAATCTTCTAAATAGACATACAAAATACTAATTTCGACGAAGTTTGACAGTTTAAAATCTACAGAAAAGAGAATGACAAGTTTGGAGGTATTACTCCATGGCAGTGTGCGTATTCATTCTGACCTTGACTCCAGGCCCAGTGTCGCTCCTCACCATGTGGACCAATCGCATCACAACAGCCAATTCCAGGAAGCACCAGGAGTTTGCCGGAAGGCAGAGCTCAGTCAACAACAAGTTTGAGTTGTACCAGCACCTGAAAGAAGAGAACGGGTGAGAAGTGAAATATCACTTGTCCTTTAAGATGTTATAAAGACATAAACATTCTAAAAGTGTTTTTTTATTTACCTGTAAAACCTTTTTTTTGTAGGATGGATGTTCATGAAAATGGCAAAGCCACTAGATGATGACTGAAGACGTCCTTGGAGCTCCACTAATTACAAAGAGCGAGGGTTGTGTGTTTTTTTTCAAGCTCTGGTGTCAGTCTGTACCATCAAGACAAGGAACATCAACAAAACAAAACAACAAACGGACCATGAACTCTTGATATTGGATTTATATTTTTTTTTTACCCACAGTTTTGTAGATATGCTGTTCACATATTATGTAACTCAATAAAGACTGTCTGTAGAGAACTGTACAGATGCTCTGTTAACAAAGGCACAGCGGTGCAAATAGACAGACAGTTACAAAACATGGAAGTGAGAAACAGTTTTATCTTAAGGTTGATTTGTTTTATTTTCCTATTTACTGCGGGTCATAACGAGGAGGACGAGGTTCGAGGGCACTGTCGCCCTCCACTGAAGGTGGACTCCTGTCCTGTGGTTTAGGATCGATCCACAGTTTGAGCGGAGGTGGCAGTGGCTCAGGTTGGAACAGCGGCGGTCTCCTCGGTCCAATGGCCCACAGCAGGTCTTTAGGGTTGACCGTGGGCCAGTGGTTCGCAGGCCAAAGGGCCATCAGCTCTGACCATTTACGATTTTTACGTAAGTGGAGAGTTGCTGCAACGACGATCGTGATCAGAATAAGAATACCGACGACGAGGAGAGCGCTGAGAAGACCGACCAGCCATGGACTAGAGTTAGTCTGTTGTGAGGTGGGGGCGACTGTTAAAGATGGCGATAGACATTGAGAGGTGTTGGTGCTTGAGGATGGATTTATATCAGTGTGGTCAGCCGGGGTAGAACTTCCAGATGTGGAGAAACAATCGTGTCTGTAGGTCACAGGTCCAACTTTGATGATGGGGAACTCTGGGAGCATTGCTGCTTTGAATTCAGGTTTGACTGATCCGTCAGATTTCATCCTCAGCCACATGTCATGTGTTTCTTCCACGGGACATTGTGTTCTCCTGAGTCTCGCCGTTCCACACAAGGTGCGGTTAAACCAGGACACCACCGTGGACCCCGGCATGATGGAAACAAGCGAAAGGTGGCGGTTGCTGCCAGAGCTGTCGAAGAAGAGGGACAGTTTGTTTAACATGAGCTCCACAAGGTGGCGATGATGGAGCACCGAGTGGAGGCTGCGTTGTGCCGTCAGGGTGAAGAAGTGACAGGGCTCCACACTCCTGCGTTTGAGATCCACAGTAAATGGCAGCGAAGCGCTCTGGCCCTGTCGGTCCCGGGCCTCCAGGAGGAGGTGCTGAGGAGCAAACTGCAGGTCCAGCTCCAGAGGAATCCCATGAAGCTCCAGACCATCTAAGGCCAACCACAAACCCACACTCAGGGGAGGTCCCTGTTTCAAATGGATCCTTAAGGAAAGAGCATCTGCCGTTCCATCTTCCGGATCCAAAAATGTTTCCGGTGGAACCGAGTAGAGAAATGGGAAACCGACGGTGGCCACCAAGAACGGCAGAGTTTGCAGAGCGATTGGTGGAAAATTCAGAGACTCTGAAATGGAGAACAGAATGTATGTTGAGATTATTATTAGGTTGGTTCATTGAGACTGAAGTGTCTTGGACTGACTTACCCGGGGCATACGCCGAAGAACGTAAAGGTCGAGCTGAGCTTTGTCCTCCAGGAGTAGAAAGATCAACATCCAGTGAAGGTGTGTGTGTTAAAATGGAGAAACTACTGTGTTTGTAGACGTTGGTGAAAAGAAATGAAACATAGTCCACAGATGTCACAAATGTCACAGTGGGAACAACTCTTCCACTTGAGTCAAACCGTAGAAACTGTGACGTAAATAATGTCAGGTTCTCTGTCGGAGGTAAATAACTGTTGTCCACTGTGTGACGGAGCTTCTCAGTACTATAAATAAAGGAGCTGCACCCACTGATGTGCACCTTACCCTGGTCACATACTGGGAATGACGGCCCCAGACTCTGCATTATATAAGCAGAGGGTGTAATGTAGGGTTCCTGAGCAGTAGAGGGAGCAGTTGGCCCAGGGTAGTCTCCAGACTGTGACATAATATTGTTCTTGGATGTTGAAAGCTGACTCAGAGGAGACATGGTCTGGTCTGGTTGTGTAGATGCTGCATGTGGATATATGAAGCCTGCTGTTTCAGGGCTGGAGAACACGTGGGAGGAATGAATGTTCTGGAATTCCTCAGTCTGTGGTGTCTGCATAAGAGTCTGTGTTAGTGACAGCATGAATGACATTCTTTCATGAGTTGATTTAACAGGGGTCAGTTCATCAAAGGACTGGTACGTCAACACGCTGGAGTGGACTGAAAGTGTTTGGGGGTCTTCAGCCGGAAAGAGCGTGGACGACAGTGAAGTGACAGACGTCAGTGTCCCCGTTTGTTGACTCTCAACAAAAGTGACCTCTCTGCCAGAGGCTGTGTGAAAACCGGTCCCTGGTTTGCTTTGAAGACTGGGCTGCAAAGATTTGAAGGAGGTCTCCATTAGTGAGAGGAACTCTGATGATTTCAGCTGAAACTCAGCACTAAATGTCTCATCTGTGATGTCAGACAACGTAGGCGTCTGGAGTGTCCCAGTAAAAAGTCCAAACTCTGAAGATAAGGCTGGTGTTGACATCACAGACGAGGCCTCGAACGTGGATGTAGGAAGCGATGACTCCAGCTGGAATTGTCCAGACGTTACCAGTTGACCCACTGAAGCATTTGGCTGAGACATCGCAGCCTGATTCAGTCCAGATGAATACGGAGATGGCTGTTGAATCGTTGCCATGTTCTGAGTTACTGATCCCTGCTCCGTCATTAAATATGAGAACAATGACATGTCTGCAGAAAGCTGAGTCGTCTGCATAGTGTTTGATGATGTGGGGAACTGCGTCCACTTCAATACGGAGCTCTGTGACTGGATGTCGTAAAACTCCCCCGTCCAAGGCGGATGAGAAACAGATGGGTTGTTGTGGAGGGTTAACTCTTGGTCCTGGCTGAAGATGGAGAGACCTTCATCTGAAAAGTACAACATATCAGTACAGTTGAGATTTTGTAGTATTTCTTTTAATTTTTTAAAAACATTCCTAAAATTTCATCGAGAGAAAGTAAGATAAGAGATTTTTTTTTTACACTACATCAAAGACACACAGGGAGTGTGTGTTTGTACATGGAAAGGCAGGCATCCCTAAATATATTTTGTACCATTGGAAATATCTGAAAAAATAAAGGAAAGAATCAGACAAAGGTCAACAGAGACTGTCTAGAAGCTAAAGCCTTGATACAGTATGTTACATTACACTGCCAAAACTGCAACAGTTTTAGTTTAGAAGTTTTAGTTGGGTATTAATCAAAAATGAATGAATCTTTTACAGGTCATATTTAATTATAGATATGCTTTTTTTTGGTTACATAGAGGCAAGAACTTTCCTGAGAGAATTTGAAAAGCAAAAAAAATGAGAAAAGTTCTGAGTACTACATATGATAAATGCAACAGTTCTGTTTTCTTAAAACAGTTTTTAATTTTGCAATGTATTCTACCCATTCTCTTTATACAAACTGCAGACTGTCTGACCTGTTATTTCATAAAAGTGTGTAAGAAGAACCATGACATCGTAAAAAAAAAAAAAGCATGATTAGGTTTTGAGGACTCACTCAAAACAACACTCCCAGGTCGTTGTTACCTGGTGTGTTGAAAACATTCATGACAAAAGCGTCCACTGTAAGGTGATTGACAGATAAGACAAGAGACAATACACAGTGATAAGAGACACGATGGGGACGGAATATACGTGTGTGTCCTCTGTATTTATAAGTCTTAGAGTGAGCGTTTTAATTTAAACAACTCGGCCCCAACGTTGGGCCCCAGAGTTCTGTTTTCATATTTCCATCACTGCATCGGGCCATATGTTGCTCCATCTGTTAATCCACTGAGCTCCATTCATATGTGAGCGTCCTCTCACACAAGGCCTAGTCATTCCAACATATGACCTGAATGACTAAGCAGCCAGAACAATCCCAGATAGTCATATGGAGGGCAGCGGCAGCAGACTTACCCTGTGAGCTCACGGTGGGCCGTCTCTCTGAGTCACTGCGGCCGCCTCTGAAACATTCAGTCCACGGGCTGCCTCCGTTCAGATGAGGTCCTGGGGTCAGACAAGTGGCCGGCGGTGCCCCGTCGATAGCATTATGTGTCAGGGTGGAAGTGACACTGTAAATGCCCGGGGTCGGGGGCAGTGGGGGGTAAATGGTGAGACTGTGCAGCAGGGCTGATGGTACCTTTGTAGAAAGCGCATTGACAACTGTGCTTTCCCTGGCGGGCTGTAAATAAAATGGTAAAGAAGAATAAAAGTCTGCGGTCAGGACATATTCACTGGGCGATGAATCTGAGGTGACCTCTGACACACAGGGTACAGTCACGTCTGGATGAGGATTTTGGCGTGAAAACGGCCGTGTCTGACTACAAGTCAAATCCATGCACACAGAAGATCCCCCATACCAATCAGCTTCTGCAGTTGGAAATATAGCAGAGTGTTGCATCAATGTCTGAGAAACATAGCCTCCGGGAGTCATTTCTGACGAACAAAGAGAAATACAAGACTGTGTTCTCAAGGACTGCAGTAAAGTGTGTTTGTTTATAGAATTTATAGCACTTCCTGCCAAGCCCTGGGGGCACGCTGGTTGCAGATTTAGTGCCTGGAGATTGCTTTGCAATGAAAAAGTCGTCGAACTCCAAGACCCCAGTTGTACAGGAACAACAGCTGACTCTGAGCGGTCAAGTTTTTCTGCCTCACTCTCCAGGGTCGCTGGCCGAACAGAGTCATTCTGAGTAGATGCCAGACCTCTCTTAACCCTAATTTTCTGCTGAACTCCATTAGTGGCACAAAGTATTCTCAGTTCCAGGATAGTAGCTCCTAAAAGCTTTGCCAAACTTCCTGACTTCACACTGTGCTCCAGAGTAGGGGTGAAATCAGCCCCGGGGCAGCCGACGGGCCACATGAGCTCAGCCACGTCTCCAGGAACTTCATCTCTCACAGCAGGTCTACGTCTTCTACAAACTCTGAGCTCGTTCTGTCGTCGGAGTTTCAGCGCGTGTTCTCTGGAAAACAGGTAAACAGAGTCCACTGGTCGGTGGAGGAAGCTGGCCATGTTGTTGACCAAACTCAGGCGCCGGGTGACGTCAAGAGTCACAGGGTTCAGGTGAAGGAGAAGGTCGGCCCAGATGCTGGTCTTCCCCTCGGAGCAGGACAGAGGACGTCTGTCAGATACAGGGAAAAACCAAGCAGTGGGACCTGAGTGAAACATGTGTCTGATGCTAACTGGAGGACAGTTGGTCCATATATTCAAACACTGCAGAAGACAAACTTAGGAAACATTGAACTGGTGGTATAAACACTGGCCCATGACACAGCTTACAGTAATCAATACATTTAATTTAATTCAATGGTGTGCTCAGTATATTCCTTCAAGATGGAATTGAATAAACAAAGCTTTACTGTCCAAAGAATTTAAATAATGAGGAACCTTCAGTTCTGAAATGAACTTTGACTAGAACTGAGTTGAAGCTGAAAATATCTTCAAGAAATAGAGAAGACTTCTTTTACTGTTTTGGGATAAAATGCCCTGAATCTACAGTACGTGACTTTGCTTTACTGCATTTTCCTGATCCCACTTTTAATTAATAATGAGCAGAACTCCAGTCTTGTGACCAAATAATTTTTAACCATGAATGAATAACCATAATGATAATTCTGGGTGTAAATTAAAAAAAAGGGGACAAAGGTGAAGAACACAGTGTGGGCAGAGTGAAGTGGATGGAGAACAAGGATCAGACAGTTACAGTTTCACATCGTTTTTCTTCATCTCTCTCTCTCTCTCTCTCTATCTCTCGATCTCTCACCTTGGTGAGTCCTGTCTGACGGTCAACGTCTTATTGACGATGGTCAGATAGAAGTTAGCAGCACACTTGACACCAGCACCGGACACCGTCAGGTGATAAATTCCACATTCCTCAGCCAGAGCTAGACCAGTCAGAGTGTTGCTGCGCGGCTGAAACAGCAGCCAATGAGGCAACGGGCTGCCACCGTCGGCTAAGGTCACCTAGGGGGGCACAAACGGCTAAGATGATGTTGGTGTCACATTGTATTTCAAAATTTTCTCAATTGCATTTTCCCCATTAATAATAACTAAAAACCAATTAAGTCGTTCCAACCCCCCAGAAATATACTATTAATTAATTAAATGACCCCCCCCCCCATCTAATTAAGTAAGATTAAGTAAACGTGTAAAACATCCAAGCGAGAAACAGTGAGCGAAACAGCACGACAGTGTCAGGGCCACTAAGCGTAGGAGAATAAATATATCTATGAATATATATTTATTTTTTATGTAATTGCTCATGATCTACCAGCACTCGCTTTGCAAAGCTGAAAGTTAAACAAGTTCAAACCTGACTCAGTCTGTCTTAGTTCATCACTTGAGTAAATATTTTACAAAAACGTCATCCAACTGCATGTTTTTGGGAATTCTCCAATAAACAAACACATTTACTATTTAGCAGCACTTCCTTAGGGGTGAATGATAAGTGAAGCATGATGGGAGATGCCACCTAGGCTATACAAAGGGAGGTGTGTGACAAAAGCTTAATCTCGCCCATTTTGACCAAACAGGAAAAACAACAATTCCTCCAGGTATAATACTGACCTGATAGTTAATGGTATCCTGTACTGGATAAGGAACCTTATAAATGAAAGAGGACCCTGCCTCAGATGTGAAGTTGGGGAATCCACCTTCTTCTGTTCTCAAGCGACATCGTTGCATGGAACTGTGATTGTGCATCACGTGTCCCAGCAGCAGCAGAAGCTCCAGGAAGAAGTCCACGAATTTATAAGTGAATAAATAAGGATGCCTGGGTGGAAAATAGCCCATGGTCCTCCGATTCAGCTGTCGCGCACACAGGTTGCATATGTCAGTTGGCTACGACCCAAGTTTGCCATACCTTGTGCAACTGCTCGCCGATGTAAACTCTCTGTGGTTACATGGCGTTTCTGATCGTCAGTCAAAGGTGAAGACGGATGCCCACAACCAAGTCGAGCGTTAAGTCGTCTCATTGTGAGATTGTGTATAGTTTTGTCCAACAGTGCCGACAAAAAAGAAACCTGATCCATAGAGTTGTTAATGACGGATCTCGTCTCAGGCGGAGATCCAGTTACAAGTCAAAGACGGTTTCCCAGAGACCTGATCTGGAACTACTCTCTGCGTCAATGCTGATCCTGGCTTTAGGACAGAGATCAGACAAACTTTTAAAGCGGTTTATATATATATATATACACACACACATATATCACACAGTGATCCCTTGTTTATTGCTGGAGTTGCGTTCATATGTATCCGTTCTGTAAATAACGTTCAGCATAGGTTCACTTTAAAACAGCTCAAGAACTGGTTAATGTTGGACCTCAGTCAACTGGAACTGAACTAAGGCTCATTTAACCAGATTAAAATTTAAACTTTAAAATTAAAAGATTAAAATTTAAACAGGAAAATTATTAACATAGAATTTTTTTATGCAGCATCACTTCTGGAGCCAGTGAAAAGTTGTTTTTGTGGATTCACTGTTAAAACCATAGCCAGTGTTTGTGGAGCTGCTGGGTCTCTCATTCAAAAAGAGTTCACCACAGCTCACATGTACAGCAGACAAAACCCAACGGTTCTGTGAGGATGAATACAAGCAGGAAGAAGGAATGTATGAAATGTACTGTATGTATATTATTTCCATCTGGCAGTTATGCATAAGAAATAAAATAAATAAATAAATACAATATTAACTATGTAATATAGAAAGTTAGCCCACTGGCAGTGTGGGCTAACTTTCTAAAGTTCCAAGTTTCTAAAGTTTTCTAAAGTTCCAAGACGGTAATAATAATAATTTTTAAAACCTTCAAAAAAAACCTGCAAATAATGTTCATTTTTCATATTTAATAATTTTTTTATTAATTTTTTAAAATATTTTTTAATTATAATCATCCATATGTATTTTCTGAACAATGCTTGAATGGACACCTGGTACAACATTAATACGATGTCAATCTATCTCTATCATATATTTTCATTTTCTAAAACTGATGGAACATTTGAAAATAATCACTTTTAGTCCTTGAACGGGGGCAAAGAAGCAGGTAATGCCCTGGTGTAAAAGGCTTCCAGCAGAAAGAAAAACAGTGTCGTTTTCAGACCTACAGACTGCTTCAAATGGCCTAATAACGTTTTTACTTAACTCACGTACTTGTGGAATTCATGAAAAATGACGACGGCGAAGTGGCCTTGTAACTTTGCCAATGAGAAATTCCTTTTTTATTTTTTACCAACATATAATACACACAAGGTTAACAGGGCTCTGTTAATGTTATACCACCCTCGCCCCCTTCGTCCGCCCCTCTTACACACCTCTACGGTGAAGTGCAGTGACCAACCCCAGAGTAGCGGACGAGGCGCAGCCAATCCGGGCTGAGGAAGGTTGACGCTGGCTTGGTTCCTAGTTATTTACTGATACAGTAAGATAAACCACGTCTGAGAAGAGAAACAACAAGCCGGCGACCACAGACTAAAAAAAAAAAAAAAAAACCCGCAAAGTTTCTTCCAAACTATTGGACTCTTTGTTTTCCCTCGTGACGTCAGTAATGAAAAAATACAGAAAGACGGGGGGAAATAGACAAGTTAAATTGTAGGGAACTTGGCGCAGCCGCAGTTTGGAGACGTCTGTAAGCGATCATACTCTCTCTTTTTTTTTTTTTTTTAAACCTTACAGCATCTTTTTGTCCCATAAATCTTATTGGTAAAAATGACCAGAAACTGGCTCGGGCTGCTGTCCATCGGGGTGTTTTACGTGATGGTTCTGGCTACGGGTATTTGGGCGTCCAGAAAGTCCAAACGTGAGGAGAGGAAATGCACCGAGAACAGGAGTGAAGTGGCAATGGTTGGAAGGAGGAACCTCAACATATGGGTCAGCATCTTTACCATGACAGGTAAAACAAACAAACAAACAAACAAACACTTGATTTGATGGCATCAGTAGCTGTAGTTTTTGATGCACTTGCTTCACTTTGAAGAAATTTGCACACAAATCCACCATCTTCATAATTGTAGTTGTTTTTCAGCAAAGCTAATTTTTCAGGACTTAAGGCTGTTATTATTCATGTGTAACCCTCCAGGCCAGGGGGCCTCAACCCCTGGTCCGTGGACCAACACCAGCTCAGGGACATTTGGCACTGGAACTCAACTCCAACATCATGCTATGTCAATCAATTCTGCCTATTAGGTCTTGTTACGAACTGAGTGAATTATGTTACTACTACAGATGCACTAATTCCAATGCAAGTATCTGTATCTAGTACTATACTTAGTACTCATGCTTGAAACTGAAATTAGACACTGATTGAGATGAACTATAGATCCAACTAATTAACTGCTTGTTTTGGTACAGCCACCTGGGTCGGAGGAGGTTATATCATGGCTAATGCTTCACTGGTCTACAATCCAACAAAAGGCCTGGTGTGGGCCTTAGTGTCACCCATTGGATTTTCATTAACCATGATTTTAGGTAAGTATTTTTTTTAAAAAAAATACAACCGATTTTAAAACCTGAAAACTTAACAGTTCCATGCAAATATTTATAAGAGTTGTGTTTGGAACGCTTCTTTATAATAAAAGCGGACTAGGTTAACGTTTTCTTTTATCCAAATTCCAGAAAAAAACCCCCAAAAGATTACTATTGATAACATAGCAAGATCTTCGCAAAATATACTGCGCGCAATCACTACTGCGAAGATCTTGCAGTGTAACAAAAAAACAAAAAATACAGATTTATACTCATCACGTTATACACATAGTTTAACAAAACCCAACAAAAAAAGTATATGTTGTGAAATGCAATGACTTTCTAGACTCACATTTTACTTATTACTATTAAAAACTAGGCCAATTAAGTTGATCACAACGACAATGTGCTCCAAGGAATTGAAGAAAGACACGCACGAAGTTAGTCGATTCCTAACAGATTCTTTAGTTGTAGTTTTTATAGCCATCTAGTGGAAGAGTATTTCATTCCT